CCCGTGTCCCCTGCATCGGCAGGCGGACTCTCAACCACTGCGCCACCAGGGAAGCCCCCCTGGTACTTCTTTAGCCAAACTGCTCCAGAAAATAAATTTGGCTTCTCTTGTCAGGGTGGGGGAGGAGCAGTCACTTGGACGTGCATATCAGGGAACTAAGGAGTTTGATCATCGTTTACATCGATTTTCAACAAAAAGTCCCATGCACTTACTCTACCTTCCAAGGTATCTTAGGCATCTAATTCCTGAGTCTTTCTGGGACTGTAAAAAGTGAAGCTGGTTCCTTCTTGTCAGTGTATCCCTCCACAGACATAAAGGTTTCAGAATTTTCTGCTCTGCTAAAACAGTTATCACTCATTAATTTGCTTTCTGTCTTTCAAAAAAAATGTTGACGTCTTTTATTATCTCTTCTCTCCTCTCCTGTTCTCTTTGCCCTTGTGGGTTTATCACTTTTTATTCTTTTGCTACCAGTTTACTAAAGGTTAAGAAGGAAGTGAAGATAAACACATCCATGGACCACTTTTAATCAGTACTTAGGTGTCACTGTCCCCCCACCCCCCCAGCTGACTGCTCCTCTGCAGTCAATGATAATTCCAATTGTGTTTGGTTCACCAAAGAAGGAAACACAAAGAAAGAAAAGGGTAGATTCTTTCTGAGGCATCTGGGCAATAGTTAGAAGAACAAAGAGTAAAGAATAAAGAACAATGTAGTTTAAACAGATCATACATACCCATGGGAACAGAGAATATTTGGACATAAATAACCAAGCTGTGACTAGTCAAACCAGGGAAGGGGTAAAGCTTAGCAGTAGTTTGAGTTGCCTGAGTGGGTAGGAGGTGGAGATATAAAGTCTCTTAGTTTCCTTCACTGACCATCAGGTGGCACTGTTGACCCAAGACAGCTTTGTGGCTACACGTGTAGCCAGCCAATGGGTAGGAAAGGAAAAGAGAGCTAGCTGCAGGTCTTTTCTACAGGCCAGTCATTCACAAGGCTGTACCTGGGACAGGGCTTCAAAGTAGTGTTGTATTGAAGAGCTGCTATCAAATAAGAATCATACACTTGGAAGACCCATAGGATAGATACCAAAACCATACTAGTTGATCACAAATCTCAGTTATCACCCAGAATACTCCAGACCTACTGAATTCAAATTTCTAGGGGTGGAGCCCTGGAATTCATTTTTAATGAATTTCCCAGGGTTTTGATGTATAATTTAAGTTTGGAAACAACTGAAGGAGAACACACTCTGAAAGTGATTTTGTATATTTTTAAATACCCAAACACAGGTAGCTAAGGACATTGATGTAGGAGGCTAACCCCTCATTGCTGACAACAGAAAGAATCTGTCCTCCAAATATTAACAGCAATTCCTTGGGCTAACTACTTTCTAAAGGCTTTTTGGGGGTTTTTTTTTACAGATGAAAATGTATTGTTGTGGGGACTTCCCTAGTGGTCCAGCGGTTAAGACTGCACTTCCACTGCTGGGGACCAGGGTTCAATCCCTGGTTGGGGAACTAAGATCCCACATGCCTCGTGGCATGGCCAAAAAGTAACAAAAAAAAAAAAAAAAAAATTGTTGTAATTACATTCTTCTTTTATAGAAAAATGTTTTCCTTTCCTTTAAATTAATATTAGAGCAGTTTTAGGTTTACAACAAAATGAAGCAGGTAGTATAGACATATTTACAATAAATATCTCATTTGAAAATCACTAGCAACTACTCCTAGAATCATGGTTAGCATGAAAGTCAGCATGATATTTTCATTAGTGACAGTTCTGTATCCTTTTCAGCTAACCATACATACCGTTCTTGTATAGCTTTGTTGTAAGCTCCAGCATTCAGTGTTTTTCTGATCAAGTCACAGATGTGAGAGCTCTCTCCTGGGCACCGAGGGAGTCCAAAAACACCTAAAGTAGTAGAAGACAAACATCCATGCCTTCAGTAGTCATGTACTGAATACCTACTATGTGCAGGGCATTGCAAGAAACAAAACCAGAACTAGACCCTGATCTTGTTCATTTATTCCTCAAGAAAATAATGTTTTGAGAATTAATACTATAACCAGCTTCCTCCTGGTGTTCCCACACTCTTTTCTGCCTCAGGACCTTTGCATCTGCTTTTCTCTGGAGTATGTACTTCTCTTACTGCTTCAATGGCTGGCCTCATTCTCATCTCTTGGGTCTTGGTTTAGAGAAGTCATACCTGAGTGCCCTAACTCAAGCAGTGCCCAACCCCAGTTCCTTCCTCTCCCCCAATTATACTTGCATCCTCATCATCCTCATTAATAACATTTTGGGGGATACCAGACATACCAGTTCTAAGCATATATTGGCAATAATTAATTTAATCCTCACAACCACCCTGTAGAGTACAATCATTTGCACCATATTACAGATAGGAAACTTTTTTTTCTTTTTTTAAGGAAACTTTCAAACAGAGAGGTTAGATACCTTGTCCAAGGTTAGACAGTAAGTGATGGAGCCAGGATATGAACACAGGCAGTTTGGCTCCAGAGCCCACACCTTTCACCAATACAACCACCATTCTTCCTATTATCCTATTTTTTTTTCTTTATCATAGTTACCACTATCTGTATTTATTTTATTTGTTTACCTATTTCATGTCTATTCTCCCCCCGCCACTAGAATGGAAGTTCCATGAAGGCAGAAACCTTGTCTGTCTTGTTTCTAGGTTTTTAATAAATATTTGTAGAATCAATGAATGAATGATAAAGCTGTTCCTACCAACTTGCATTTAAATAATACGTGTACTTTAAAAAAGTATTTTCCTACCTATTATTTCATTTCATCCTCTGAAAACTTCCCACAAGATGGGCAGGGTCTTATTTTAGTTTCCCTCATCTGTGAAATGGACCTACGATACCGAATTACTTGCCCATCAGTAACCGTTAATTGGGTGAAGCCAGTTTCCTGATTATAAGGAGAATCCGTCTGTTCCTACACCCTACCAGCTACCAACTATATCCATCAGAACAGAGATAACGTTCTATCCCAAAGACACATCTTCCCCCAAAAGTAAATAATTCTGTCTAAATAGCAAACCTGTTGTTTTTTGAAAGATTTAATCTCTACTGTTAATTATAAAATTAACAAAAAGCCTAGACACTATTCTTTGCCTAAGTCTAAATTCAGTAGGACATCACCCATGTCAGAAAACAGGAAAGGTTGTTGGGGGACTTCCCTGGAGGCACGGTGGTTAAGAATCCGCCTGCCAGCACAGGGGACACGGGTTCGAGCCCTGGTCCGGGAGGACCCCACATGCCGTGGAGCAACTAAGCCTGTGCGCCACAACTACTGAGCCTGCTCTCTAGAGCCTGCGAGCCACAACTACTGAGCCCACACGCCACAACTACTGAGACCGCATGCCGCAACTACTGAAGCCCACACTCCTAGAGCCTGTGCTCCGCAACAAGAGAAGCCGCCACAATGAGGAGCCTGTGCACTGCAACAAAGAGTAGCCCCGCTCGCCGCAACTAGAGAAAAGCCCACACACAGCAACAAAGACCCAATGCAGCCAAAAACAAACAAACAAATAAATAAATAAATTTTTTAAAGGAAAAAAAAGGAAAGGTTGTTGGACTTTCCTAACTCCTAAACCACCATCTGTTACATGGGTGCAACCATCTCACTCCATGAAATCATGTCAATTAAATTAGAGAGAAGTAGGTGGTAACCTAATGATTCACCTGTGTTCCAGGCCGCTGGAATCCTATTTCATCATCTCTCCTGGCTAATTTACTATAAATTAGAAAAACAGGATTTTTGCAAGGATGGCTGACTTCTTGTACAAATAGAGCTGCTAGAATTTTTTAGGCAAAGGGGACAAAGTTACCTTGATGTTGTCCCCCAACTGATATGAGATTGATCATAGGAGGTGATGGGCATCTCTGAGCCACTGCCCTCCTGGAGAAAAAAAAGGATTATCAGTTCCAACTGTCAGATGGAAATGTATCATCAACAATTAACTTCCCAGGGCTTCCCTGGTGGCACAGTGGTTGAGAATCTGCCTGTTAATGCAGGGGACACAGGTTCGAGCCCTGGTCTGGGAGGATCCCACATGCCGTGGAGCAAATGGCCCGTAAGCTACAAGTACTGAGCCTGCGCGTCTGGAGCCCGTGCTCCGCAACAAGAGAGGCCGCGACAGTGAGAGGCCCGCGCACCGCGATGAAGAGTGGCCCCCGCTTGCCACAACTAGAGAAAGCCCTCGCACAGAAACGAAGACCCAACACAGCAAAAATAAAGTAATTAATTAATAAACTCCTACCCCCAACATCTTCAAAAAAAAAAAGAAAACCACAGCTTTTCTCCTTTAAAAAAAAACAAAAAACAATTAACTTCCCAGATTAAGCTACTTAATCCTCTGTGGCTCCCCAAAGCCACAAAGTTTCAGGACTTTCCTCTGATACCGCCAAACAAATCTTTATTCCTTCACAGAAAATAAGTTAAGCTCCATAGAACTTCTTCCATTGGGATATTTTAGAAGAGTCTCCCTTCCAAAATAGGTGAAGATTCCAAAAGAAATGAATGGGTAGATCTATCTGAATCAAAGGAAAAAAAAGTCAGTTCCATGTAAGTGATATAACAAAAAGGGACTTACAGAAATTGGCCTCCCTGGGAGAATCCCATAGCATTGTAGCCTTGCTGCAATTTAGGATCCTTAGCAAGAATCTGACACACCGTTGTTACTTGGGAGTTGACATTCAAAAAGAAGCTGTTCTCCACATCCTAAAAGAAGAGCCACGAGGAGTGAAAGGATGGGGCTGAAAACTATCACTGGCACCTTCGCTAAGAGCAAACTTGTTTAGGTTGGTACCCTCACAGAAGCCACTCAAGAACTAAAGTATCACTGTATGATCTGCTGCTAAAAATACAAGGTTAAGCATCTTAATAGTATATTCTATGAAATCAGTCAGCAAACCTTCAAAGGAACAGAGCCGTGAGGGGCCTCACCTCTACCAGGGTCTTCCCAATCTCTAGAGACAAGACGTAAATTCCAGGTATTTTCTTCTCGACCATTTTTTTAACAGCACCCATGCTTAAGGGATTACAACAGCTGTCTCCTAGACAACAAAGGCAATCGTGGAAACTCATGAGTAAAAAAAACATTATTTTATTTTATTTTTTTAACATCTTTATTGGGGTATAATTGCTTTACAATGGTGTGCTAGTTTCTGCTTTATAACAAAGTGAATCAGTTATACATATACATATGTTCCCATATCTCTTCCCTCTTGCATCTCCCTCCCTCCCACCCTCCCTATCCCACCCCTCCAGGCGGTCACAAAGCACCGAGCTGATCTCCCTGTCCTATGCGGCTACTTCCCACTAGCTATCTACCTTACGTTTGGTAGTGTATATATGTCCATGCCTCTCTCTCGCTTTGTCACAGCTCACCCTTCCCCCTCCCCATATTCTCAAGTCCGTTCTCCAGTAGGTCTGTGTCTTTATTCCTGTCTTACCCCTAGGTTCTTCATGACATTTTTTTTCTTAAATTCCATATATATGTGTTAGCATACGGTATTTGTCTTTCTCTTTCTGACTTACTTCACTCTGTATGACAGACTCTAGGTCTATCCACCTCATTACAAATAGCTCAATTTCGTTTCTTTTTATGGCTGAGTAATATTCCATTGTATATATGTGCCACATCTTCTTTATCCATTCATCCGACAATGGGCACTTAGGTTGTTTCCATCTCCGGGCTATTGTAAATAGAGCTGCAATGAACATTTTGGTACATGACTCTTTGTGAATTCTGGTTTCCTCAGGGTATATACCTAGTAGTGGGATTGCTGGGTCATATGGTAGTTCTATTTGTAGTTTTTTAAGGAACCTCCATACTGTTCTCCATAGTGGCTGTACTAATTCACATTCCCACCAGCAGTGCAAGAGTGTTCCCTTTTCTCCACACACTCTCCAGAAACTCATGGGTAAAAAAAACATTATTTTTTAAAAAAAACTTCTGTGCTTTAAAGGCATTAATGAAAATGTGAAAAGACAACATACAGAATGGGAGAAAATATTTGCAAAACATATACTTGATAAGGGTTTAATATGTGGAATATACAAAGAACTGTACAACTCCACAACAAGAAGACAATCTAATTAAAATGGGAAAAAGACATGAACAGACATCTCTCCAAAGAAGATACACAAATGGCCAACAAGCACATGAAAATATGTTCAACATCAGTGGTCATTAAGGAAATGCAAATCAAAATCACAATGAGATACCACTGCACAACTACTAGGATGGCTTTAATTTTTTTTAATTAATTCATTTAAAAATGGAAAATAACAAGTGTCGGCAAAGATAGGGAGAAATTGGGACCCTTTACATTGCTGGTGGAAATGTAATATGGTGCAGCCACCGTGAAAACAATTTGATGGTTCCTCAAAAATTTAAACATACAATGACCATATGACACATCAATTTCACTTCTGGATACATACCCAGGAGATGTGAAAACGTATGTCCCTACAGAGATTTGTAGACCATCAATGGATGACTGGATAAACAATTGTGGTACATATATACAATAAAATATTATTCCACCATAAAAAGGAACAAAGTACTGCCACATGCTACAATGTGGATGAACCTTGAAAACATTATTATAAGTGAAATAAGCCAGAGACAAAAGGTAACATATTGTATAATTCCTTTTATATGATACATACAGAATAGGCAAATCCATTGAAACAGAAAGCAGACTGAACATTTCCTGGGGATGATGGGAAGTGGGGGATGAAGAGTGATTCCTTAATGGGTACAGGTATTTTCTGGGGTGATGAAAAAGTTCTGAAACTAGAGAGAAGTGGTGATTGCACAACGTGACTACACTAAATGTCACTGAATTGTATACTTTAACATGGTTAATTGTATGTTATATGAATTTCACCTCAGCAACAACAAAAAGAGAGAACAACATTTTTTGCTCAGCTCATGTTTACCAGGTAATAACAAACTTCAAAAGCCCACACAATATAATGGGGACACCAAATTCACAACTGAAAATAAGCAGGGGTGCAGATTCCCTTATCATCTAGAACATTTGGGGTTAATAGACTCAAAAGCACTTTGGAATCTGATTTCCCTTTAGGGCCAGGACTACAGTAAGACAAGTAAAGCGCCTAGGACACAAAATTTAAGGAGGTGCTAACTCTTGCGTTCATGTAAGTGCTGGCCTTGAACTTACATTTTGCTTTTTTTTCCTGTTTCAAGGAACCAGAACTAAGAATAGGAAGCAAAGTGGCCGCTGAGTGGGAGAACTGGGCTGAGATCATTTTCCATTTTGAACTTAATCATCCCATTTTCAACCTGAGAATAAGCTTAAGAATTTGTTTTTAAAGAAGGAAAAGGCCTCAAGCATCTTTGATTTCTTGCACTGAACTATAATTGTGGGTTACTTAACTGCCTCCCATACAGAGTGACTGTGCTCTGGGAGGGCACGGAGCTCCCCTGCTTTCCTTTAACTCCACTGTAGTAGCCCCAGGCCCTGGCACAGAGCCTTGAAAGAACTGTCTCTATTTACTGACTCTAATTCCACTCTGAACATTTTTCTTTAAGCCATTTCAAAAAGGCTCTCACTCTCACCACTCCCCTAAAAGTGCTTTTGTCAAGGTCATTAGTGATCTTCCTATTCCTAAATCCAATAACCAATTCTCAGCCCTCATCTTATTTGACCTGTCATCAACATCTCACAGTTTCTTACTCCCTTCCTCTTGAAACATTTTCATGTGGCTTCCAGGACTCTGCCCTCTCCTGACTCTACCGCCTCCCTAGTCGTTCCATCACTGTCTCCTTTGCTAATTCCTCCCCATCTCCTCAACCTCCAGACCTGACTGCCTCAGGTCTCGGTCTTTAGACCTCTTCCCTCCTCTGTGTACACTCACTCCCTAGGTGATCTCGCCCAGTTCCATGGCTTTAAATACCAGCCATATGCCAAAGGCTCCCAACTTTAATCTCCAGCCTGTATCTGTCTCGGACTCCACACTCCAAATGCCTCTACATCTCCTGGATGTGTAACAAACAACTCAAATTTAGTAAGTCCAGACTCTTGGTTTTCATCCCAAATTTGCTCACCCTACAGGCTTCCCCATTTTGGTAAAACGACAACGTCATCCTTCTCACTGTCCAGGCCAAAACCCGTGGAATCATCCTTGACTCCTTTCTCATCCCACATCTAACCTGTTAGCAAATCCCATTGGTTCCATCTTCAAACTATATCCAAACTTTGACCACTTCTCAACATCTCCTCTATTACTAAACTGTTTCAAGTCACCATCACCTCTTGTTTAGATTACTACAAAAGCTTCCTAACTTTTCTCCTTGCAAAGGTCCATGACCCCCTACAATCTATTCTCAATATAGCAACTAGAGTGCTTTTAAAGTGCAAATCAGATCGTGTCACTCATCTGCTCAAAACCCACAAGAACTTCCCATCTCATTCTAGCCAAAGTTCCTACAGTAGCCTTAGTAGACCCAACAACGTCAGCAGGCCACCCCCATCCCCCTCCCGTCCCTGAACTAAACATCTATTTTTTTCCAGTTACAATGACCTGAATGCTGTTCCTTGAACATACCACCATACCTGACATACTTCTGCCTCATGGCCTTTGCATCTGCTGTTCCTTCCATCACATATTCACATATCATCTTCCCTCATCGACTTCAGGTCTTTGCTCAGGTGTCACTTTCTCAGTGAATCCTTTCCTGACCTTAGTCTATAAAACTGCAAGCCCCCACTTGCAGTCTCTATCCCCCTCTCTGCTTTATTTGTCTCCATTGCACGTATCACCATTTGATATATTATATTACATTATATTATTATATTATATTATAGTCTGTCTCTCCCCCTGGAAAGTTCTAAAAGAGCAAAGAATTTCGTCTATTTCGTTCACTGCTGTATCCTCAGCATCCAGTAGGTATTCAATAACTATGTGTCAAATGTATAAATGAACTACTGGTGCCTAAAAAATCTCTTCAATGTGTGAATGAACAAAAGGATGGATGCCCCGGTCATGCAGCCACAGCCCAGCCTTCCCCGAGCAAGTGTCTGATGCTGCACCCGGACGCCACTGCCATGGGGATTAAACCAGGACACCACGTAAAACCCTACCGCAGTGCACAGCACTCTGTGAGCGCTCAACAAAAGACAGCTCCTTCCGCGTCTCCCCTTCCAATGCAGAGTAACCCCCAAATCCTAAACCGTGGGGACTGCCGGGTGCTGTGTGACCACGGTCCTCGCCCTCCACACTTGCACTTTGCAGACGCGAACACAGGTTTGGAGAGGGAAAAAGTCACCAAAACCTTTTGACTCACTTCTCACTCCCTCCTTCACTTACCCATCCCATGCCAGATCACCAGAGGCAGCGGGGCCGGCGGGTCAAGATGCCCCAGCGCCAGGGAAGCGCAGGACCCCGGCAGGAAAGCGACAGCCAAGAGCCACAAGCCGCTGGACGACGCCATCTTGACTCAATCACATGACCGCGCTCCCCTCTCCTGGGCCTGGCGCGGGAGGGGCTCGGCCGCAGCCTCCATATCTCCGCATGGGAAGCTGCGCCGACGGGCGTCTGTCTTGGAGTGTTACCCTAGCGAACATACCGCCCGCAGGAA